TACTAAAGAGAATGCACTAACCTTTGGGTGGATCTTGCTTCCATTGCTCGACTAGAAGCTGGTACTAGTGGTAATAGTGGTTGGTATCCGTTGAGAGTGGAATAGCCGAAATCCGAATTTAGTAAATCTTACATAATATCCCGTTACCCGATTTGGCAGATGAACAGACATCATCGCTGACGTCCGTGTCCTTGTTTGTCTCTCGGTGGAAAATAGAAATCTCAACATGAACACACCGCGGCTCTTTCTTGTTCTCGAACCACCATCTGCTCATTGTTCCCAGTACCTTTCTCGCTGTCGTGTACAGTGAGCTCCACTGCTATTTTGCTACTGGTCGCCACTTGAGGTACCTTATCCACCTATATCGACCAACAGCTATAATCACGCAGTGAGAGAGATATCATGGCCAGCTCTCAAGTTGGATATACCGGTCAGTGGAATTTTGATTCCAATTCATTCTCAATCTAACTATTGTACCCTCAAATCTTTTACATTCCAATCGGTCTCCATTCTCCCGTGTCTTCATTTTTCCCGTGGTACATTGTCAGGCTCGGGCCTAACCACTCGCAGACGCTTCTCACATCGGTACTCGCATAGCACCCCATCTGTCCTTCCTTCGGCTCTTCCGGTCCCATCGCTCAGTTCTTCAGCCTCATCAATCTCTTCATTGTCCAAGACTGTCACTACAAACAGTACCTTACCCACACCTTCCACGCTCAAATCCTCTTTTGAATATCCGCCGCTTATAATCGCCACGGACCATCCCGCTGACAATTTGGAATTTGGGCTTGATCAGGAGTATGATATCCCAACTCCCAAAGCTTCTCCCACCAAGAGCAGTATCCGATCCAGCTCAAAGATTCCCATTCTTCAAGCGAACAGAAACAGGATGAGGAATAAATCGGATTCTAGTAGGGCTTCTTCTACTACCTCTATCGCTCCAACTCGTCCTCGTTCCTCTACTTCTTACTCCACCTATTCTACCGATACCGAGTCTACTGTCACATCTGCGCGATTCGCAGCTCAACAGCGAAAATTGCGCAAATCCGGCTCCGGTTATCAGAATAGCACTTTTGCTACATCTGAAGGTGATATAACACCGGTCTTGGATCTTTCCTCGGATTCTCCTCCCGTCTTGCATTCCACCCGCGCAACTACCCTGTTTCACAGGAGGCGAGCTTCAGAAGTATCGTCTCTCTCGATTTTATCTCGTTCAGAGCCTACTCTGGCCATTTCTATCGTATCTCCTGTATCGGTCGAGAGCCCTTTGACTCGGTCGTCCTCGTCTAAGATGACTACAGGTCCAGGCCAAGCCTTGACAACTTTGGGTGGTTTAGCTACAGAGAACGCGGCAGGAGCGGACATAACTCGGCTTAGGCCGAACCTAAACCGAAACCGACAGTGTGGCGCAGTACCTGCAGCCTCGTGTACAAAAGGACGCAGAAAATCGAGCGGTGGTTCGTCATTGTCGTCAGGTCGCAACGGTTACAGCGCTGTGCCTGCTCCTCTCATGAGCGCTTACGAGCACAGTGGCCCGGCTGATGATGGCCTCCCGCCAATTAATCAGTTTGGGTCTGAGAAGAGGTCATATAGGACGTCATCAGCTGAGGATATCCCGACGGACACGCTCTTTATCGGTGTACCTTCTCCATTCGACGTTTATTGCTCCGGTTCCACTCCACACGCTCCCGCTACTAATAACCGCTCGACTGCGGGGATTGCTTCTTCTTCTCACAACTTACCTTCATCGTCCTCGCCGTCCTCGTCAAACAAACGACCTGCTGAAAGGATGCTACTGACTGCTTTGGCGAGGGACGAGGCGAATGCTCATGCTTATGGTTATGTTGCGTCGTCCTCGTCGTCTGCCAAAAAAAGACGGCATTCTCATTCTGCTTCGATGAATACGTTGCCGGCTCCGTTAACCTCGACGTCAACGGCTCCCTCTCCTCCGTCAAAAACTATGGGACACGCGTTACCTGCACTCAAAGCGAGATTGGAAAGGGTGTTGATTGCCGATGCGAACGCCGAAGCTGAGGCTGGGGCTGAGGCGGATAATGTTCATTTGGATTTTGGATTTGGTTTGGATGGGTCGAGGAGGAAGAATAGGAAGATGGGGGATGCGAATGCGAATCATGCTAGTGGGGGCGGTCGTGGTAAGGCTAGGTCGCGCTCTAGAGCGCGGTCAGAGACGAGTTTGCTTGGGTGGTTGTGGAGTTCGATGAGTGATGACGAGGAGGAAGAAGAGGAGGAGGATGGGTATGAGTATGGGGGGTATGATAGTGGGGTACGTGTATGTCTCTGTCTTGTCTTTTTTTCACAAAAGCTGATGTCCATCCTAGGCATTCCCCTTCCCAACGAGCGCTCCACCGCACATTCAGGCGTTCTCGCAAACTGCGCCGTCGCATTCACCCCATACGTTGAGGACCGTGCCTTTTGCCCGGCAGCAGAGGGGACCGCGTCCGTCGAGTCCACCGCTCACCAATAGGCTAAGAGCGCAGACTCAGCCTGTACCTTCTTCGTCGCGCGGGTTCTATAGTCCGTTCCAAGGGTACACCACCGCTGACGCTAACCAGTCCGAGGGAAGCGCTGGTCTGGATGGCAGAGCCAGTGCTGGGGCTGTCGGTGGCGCTCACGGGAAGGGTAACGACATGCACAAGGGTGCCGGCAATGGGGGGAGTGGGAACGATGGTGGATATGGTTATACTGTATCCCCGACTTCGCCCCGTCCGAGGCATGCGTTTTCGTTGGGCACGGTGCCGAGTGCTGGTGCTGGGGATTTGGGGATGGAATCGCGATTGGGTTTTGCGGAGGAGGCTGAAAGTTTGAGGGTGGGGATGCAGCGTGTTGGTGTGAATGTAGGTGCGAGTGGAGGTGCAAGTGGGAGTGGGGGTCAATATCAATACCAGCACAGCAGGAGTAAGGCGGACAATAAAGGCAAGATTAAGATCCCTACGCCGCCTCCTACACCTCCGCTGGGGAAACATTCGCCTCTGCCTGTGCCTATGCCTTCACTTTTGACTGCTTCTGGTGGTGGAAGTCGTAATGGAACACAGCACTGTAAGCGTCCTCAGACGTCTGCAGGTACTGAGACAGGAACTAGTGCGCCTGCTGTGGTTGTTACGCCTTCGCCCTCGCAACGCCGACAGAGTTTGGATTCTCCTCAGCAGTCGGGTTCTCGGTCTGGTCATCTGAATCATCAGCGAACGTCGGGTTCGGGTTCGGGGTCGGGGTCGTCCTCGTCGCCTTCGATGAAAAAGACAAGCTCGGGTCGAAGGCCTTCGACTTCGACGGGTATACCTGTGAGGAAGGTCGGGACTGGACCTGGTTCTAGACCTGGGTCAAGTTCTGGACTGGGTGTAGCTACTAGTCATACGTTTGGGACGACTCTGTCGTCGTCGTCGTATTCGCGTCGATCACCGAGTCATCAGGCTCAACAATCCCAGCTACCATCGCGAGCTCACCCTCGAAGTCGGTCTGCTACTGCTACTGGTGCGCCGACGCCGACTATGACGACCAAGGTTCGAGGAAGCTTTCCTCCATCACCGGTTTCTCCCACGTCCCCTGTATCTCCGACTTTTTCTGATTTGGTTACTGCTCCTCTATCTACTGGGAAGATGTCATCGACCGGGAATGTCACTGCTTCCGTTGCCGCCCACCCTGCTACCCCAACGATGCCTATGACCCCGACATCTCTAAAAACAGATTCAAGTCGACGTAGAGCTCGAGCCAGCACCGGCGCACCTACACCTTCCTCCCCCACTGCTTCTTCCCCTTCTACCTCGACGTTCAACGCTTTCAACGCACACACGGCGTCAATACGGTGTCGACAGATTGACGGGTACGTGTCGTTTGCGGCTGTTGGTGTTGCGGGGCTTGAGGAGCCTGTGGGAAATACGAACGGTGAGAGTGAGGGTGATGGGTTTGGGTCTGGACGGGAGGGAGGTGTTGGGGGTAATGGGAGGGGTGCGGGGAGGGGTACGGAAGCCGGGGCAGGGTGGAAGGGGTTCGATTTTGGGAGGTTGTTTGGGCGGTAGTGGACCTGGTGCGTTCGAGAGCGAACCGGCAGCAAGTGCGACTCGTTGGTTTTCCTATTATGGCGCTCTTGTTTGGGGACTTGCGTTTTTATTTTTGGTTTAATACGCTCGCTCGCGTGTAATTTTTTTTTGTTTCTTTTTGCTGTACTTTTCTCGTCGTTTCTCTCCTCAATTCCTCACCTACCTAGACACGAGACTCGATGGTTTATTTCGAGAGGTTTGCTTTGGATTGTATATGGTGCTTCTTTGTTCTCTCTGGTTTTTTTTATTTTTTATCCTTGCTTGCTGCATGGTTCATTGGCGTACACGCCTGCGCACGCATTCTTCCCGTTACCAGTACCTCGGCTTGGTTCTTCCCACCCCGTTCCTCTCACACACATTTAACACACACAGCGCACTCATACTCACATACACATACACAGCACATGCAGAACATACGAAACGAACGCTTCCAAAAAAAAATGGAAAAATGTACAATACGATACGATACGTGTACTTCTACGAGTCTACGACGCGATTGGGATGCTGTTACGATAGACACGAGTTGTTTATTATCATTATTTACTACAACAAAAAGGTCTAGAAGGGTTATTGTTACAATTGTACGGATGACTGGAAGCGATATGATAATTTGTGCTAATCACCCTCGGGAACGACTCGGATACGCGATATCCCGTATTCTTACACTGAGCATCAAAAACATCGAAAACTACATTACAGTGCATTAAGAGGGAATCGAACCCCCGGCGGGTCGAGCTTGACAACTCCGATAAGGAGATGGCAACGACCCAGGTTACCACTACCCCATTAATGCTACGAACAAGAGCTGTCAAAAAAAGGTTATTCAATCAGTCCAGTATGCAGTAGAAGGAAGCATGGAGCATTGAACGTTGAATGTTCTTGCCCATTCGACATTCAAGAGTAAATTATGATTATACGACCGCGGTCAACTGCTTAAGCGCTTGTTTTGCTTGAGTACGCAGAGGTCATGTTGGGGACTTTTAATTATAGCCGTTCCGGCTATGATTCATTGGGCGCAAATCAGAAAATAAATCATTGCACGCTTAGGCATAGGACTCATAAATGAATGTACGTACCACACAAGTACAAGGGCAGTTCGTCAGACGTTGCATAAAGCGTAAAGCAAAGCCTGGGACAATTGCTCCGAGTTAATGCTCAATAATAGAATAGTAAAAGAGACATCGAAACTTGGATTGTATTTGCGACATGTACTGGGGAAAGAATCAAACTCGAAAGAATCAAACTTCCGCAAATGCTCATTCTCACAATACCTCTGATCCTTTGTGATCAGATATGGAAATAGCGACCGAAAATAACGCTAACTTATGGCTTAGGGAGGTTCTGAAGATTGGAGAGGGCCTGGAGTACGCATAAAGAAGTGTGATACACCACGAGAATAGAGTACACTACGTTTATTAGACCTTACAAAATGTGTATGCACATTATCTATTCGCGCAGACCCCCAAAGCCTCGATGCTATTCACTGGATTTTGTGGATGCAAATTGCCTCGGTAATTTATTACATCTACAACTCTGGGAGAAGCTGGTCAGGATTCGTAGGAAGACGAAAGTAAAAGAAAAAAAAAGCGAGCTCAGGATAACTAGGATTTGTAAGAACACCCATGTGTGCGTTCATAACGACAGTCATGGTATTTTAGGTCGAAAAAATGTTCATCGTGAAAAGGAAATGAAGAACTGAGCACTCACCAAAGTTGACCATAGTGTTTGAGGAAGAGCCTACAAGGCGCCGTGAAAAATTTTTACCGTGGTAAACTTGACTAGATGCCCTCACGAGTCAAAGCATGTTTTATACACTGCTCTCACTCGACCCTTAGCGTCAGAGCGAGGCTCCAACCCATACCATGATGGTATGTTTATTGGAGCTATCTGTTAGTTTTCCAGTGCACCACTGTATGTACCTGTCATTGATTCTCATGCTGCCAGTTTGAAACGACTCGGACTACATAGAGCACTTGACCCCAATCAAGACTGTAACGTGCGCAGCAAGAACTTCTGCCATTGCAAACATGAATAAGTCTCCTGAAGATGGTACATTCTGCCTGCTCATCGGATTTATTACTCAGATTCCTGCATGTTTCCTCGTGTGCCATGTCCAACGGCGACGGATATAATCTCGACTCTGATCGAGCGCCCAACCAGTACGTATGACCAACTTTGAAGGTATTTCCCAGCGATCTCGCGACTAATAGACGATTATCAGATCTTCTCCAGCGCCAATGTACAACTTCATCATATGAACCGCAAGTACGCTTTGACGGCTGGAATCTGAACGTGAGTTGCAACACGCTAAAGTCTGAATGAGTGTCTTACCTCGCGGCCGCGGAACATCTCTCACTCCCATCTCCGTTGTCTGGGTATAAGTGTCTTGGAATTCTGATCCTCTTCGTAGTAGCAGCCCCGCCATGGTTCTTGGACATATAACTGAGCGTCTACATCGAACACGAGGAGTGGAGACCTCCTTTACCAATGCACCCGAACTTGCCATTCCTACGTTTCCCTATCATCATGTTCGAAGCGACTCGGTGATGCGTGACTTCGGTATGCAGCGGTATTAACGTTCCTATCCCATTTTCCGCCTCACGAGCTTCTAATTTCGAAGGACACGTTATGATGACGGGTGCCTCAGTTGCAGTAGCTTCCGTCGATATTATCAACACCTTCTGCAATGAAAATTTGACCACCATTCAGTCACTATCAACGAGTCTTTTGAGCATCCACGTTTCATCTCAAGACATCGATGAATTCATCAAAGGCGCCCACATCGTCATGACCGGTTTAGAAAAAGTAGCTGCGGTGTTCCCTTTTACTGCTGGTAAGCGGAGAAAATTCCTGCTTAAAATCCGAAGCTTCGATGACGGTTACTGATGGATTCGGTAGTTGCCGTGGTTGCCTTCAAAGGAATCATGAGTGCGCACATAAGGCGAAGGGACAACGACAAGAAGGTTTTGATCGTAATAGCAAGGATCCAAGATATGCTTACCGCACTTTTCGAGTGAGCTTTCTCCTACTCTTTCATCATTCAACTTACATAGATGACAAAATCTTACTCAACTCTTTTTTAAGGATGCGACATATCCGGAATCCAGGAGCGAAAACTGACAACGGTCCCGAAAGCCGAATGGCGGAACTCATGGAAAAGATAGCGAAGGACATCCGGAAAACTGGACTGGCATGCGAGCATTTTATGAGCAAGAACATCTTCGGTGACAACCATTTCAGTCATCAATAGCATTTTCGGTACTTACAATCTATGTATCCCTAGCTAAAACCGTCAAAGCGAAGATATACGAGGAGCGCCTTGCCACTCACGCTAATCTATTCAACGACTATCGCGATGAATTCCAATTTTTACTCAATCTGTTTAGTGCAGCAGGCATTCAAAACGCAAATCGCAAACTCGATGGTGTTTCCGGTCAGCTGATGAAGATTGAAACGAAGATTGATGACATCCTTGCTATCTTCCGAAATGTTGATTCTCCACATGAACGAGATCTAAAGGATTTTATTGACCAAAACGGAGGAGCTGAAGCCCTCTTACAAAACGATCACCTTCTATCCCAAACGATACAGAAGATGAATTACGTGGATATGAACCCGGAAGCAGATATCATAACGGACGCCAGCGGTCGTGACTATGGTAGATTCATGAATTCCGGGCCCATAGACTTAGTGGAGTGCAAGAAAGAACTCGTGAGAGAGCTGAGGGAAGATCTGGACGTGACACTGACAAAAAAATTCGACATCTATAGTCAAAAGCTGGAAATGCAGAATCAACAACTGATGGAGGCACAGAAAAAACAAGAAGCTCTTTTGCTCTTCGAAATACGTGGTGGTTCCTTCTATGACCGTATCAGGCATAAGGTAAGAAGAGTAGTTGCCAGGTTCTTCTCTAACTTATCTTCTCATTACTAATTTTCCGGTAGGATATGCGAGCAATCTGGAAAGAAATGGTACGTGGGTTAACAATTGATTTGGATGGGTGTTTCCGCCAGTTTCTGACAGGGGCGTAGTGCTGGAAAGGAAGCGTAAAAGCGAGACATTTCGTCCTCGCCTTGCACGACTATTTTGTTGAAAAATACCAAACCGACGGCTCAAATGCTGCTACTATAGAAATGATCACAGACGGACCCTTGACGTCTGCCCCAAGCTCGCCTGACACCCCGACTACGCCTGCCCCAGACTGTGACCTTGAAAGCGAAAACGATAACTGGACGAATGCATACATCAATGTAACTCATGTCCAGCCAATTCTCGAAGCCGTTGATGACGATGCGACTGGCTTCATTACAATCAAAGAAGTAAATGTATTCACGTCTTCGAGACCTGCGGGATGGACGTGAGTTGATTTTGATTCTGTCGTTAACGTTTCTTACTCACTAAAACATTTCTTCTCCAGACTTCCTTGCTGGATTGCATTTTGGGCTGTCGGTAAGTGCGGTAAAGAATACAAGTATTGCCCTCAACGGTTTGCTGACAACCCCTTCGCAGGCTGGCAGACCAGCATAGACCGCTACAGGACACAAATATACGGTCAATTGGAGCAAATGATCGGTCTCTCCGGCATTGTTCACGCAGATAACCGCACATACGTGGACCAGTATCTCTCACATTCCGTTTTCAAAGAGATTGAGCAGCTTCTCCGTGCCACAAAATCACCCAACCCTGCGAATTATCGGGACCCAGAGCTGATGCGGTATGTGGATAAATACACAATGCAAGAGGAAAGAAGTCTTGAGCAGAAAATGAACTCCATCGCCTATGATCTGGATGGACCTGCTACAGTGTCCCTTGTCACTGGACCCGGCCGGATCGAAAGGGTATTCATGCTGTCTGTTCTATTGTCTTTCATGTCTAATGGGTCGAAATCATTCGCAGTTCCTGTACCCTCTCATTTACCTCATTCTTAAACAACATACTCAAGTCTTAGATCTTGCCTGTACTCACACGTTGGATGGTAAGGAGTTCGGGGACATGACAAAGACCCTCGTTTCTTTGTTTGCCGTTGTCCATGAACGCGTGGAAGGCCTGATAGGTACGTGTGTATTGCCAGCGTGTAGATCGACAAATTTGTTCTGACATGTGAGTAATTCATTTTCAGCGATCCTCAGACAAAGTTACTCCAATGTTCAAGAGCAATTAAGTTACTTTGCTTTTGGCATGGTACGTAATGTTTGTTCTTCATATAGTGAAGACGGAGGGCTGAAGTGCTTTATAAGTTTCGCTCTTTCTACGAGTGCCGGCCAAGGGATCCTAAGAACAATACTATCCTTTCACGGAGATCTACGAGCAGAACTTGGAGCAGGCCCTATGAATGTGTTTCATTGCCCGGACTTTCTCCAGCAAAAGATATCTTGCGGTACGATATTATCCAGAGCCCTACCAGCGCATCAGGAAGAAACCGGTCGATTCGCTCAGAAACTTTGCATCTGTATGTTCTATTTTAGCCGTTCACACCTTACCTGTCTCATTATAATCTATTCTGTTCTGCTCTGTCCTTAGCGGGATCAAATGCGATGCATGTAGGAAAGATATACGTGGAGCCAGATTCTTGTGCTTGGTTTGCATCAACCAAGAGTTTTCAGAAAATATTGATTTGTGTTCACAATGTTGCAATCAAACTGTGAAGCGCAAATCTTTCTCTCACGAAGCCTCTCATCCCCTTCTCCAAGTTGATACCACAATTTTCGACGCCGAGCTAGCCGTCACTATCCCAAATGCTCAAGAGATCGCTACCCACATCGAAGA